AATGCAGTACTGTTTTTGATTCTGACAAAGAGGGGAGTTTAGTAGATTTTCAAGATTAATAGGCTAAGTAAGGTCACTAGAAAAAATCGAATTAGCTAGTGCGATTTTTTTATGACTGTTATATAACATATTCCACTACTGTTATTTGCCATCCTAATGCTACCAATTTAAATAAAATTCAAATACCCCTGCTGCAGAAAATCTGTATACTCAGCGAATTTTGAATGCTTGATTAAACTAACAATAAGGCTAAATACCAATTTCTAAATTTTGCTCGTTGCCCACAAAGATAACAGGGATATGAGTATGCTGCTACGTGAACTCACAAAAATACGTGGTTGTATTGAGTATGTTGGATAGGATTTCTGCTACGAGGACCTTCTGGGATTTGTAAGCGAATATTGGATAAATCTCAACTAAACGAAGCCATAGCCTATATATATTTTTATTTCATTTGATTTGATACACAAAATGTTATTAATATATGGGAAAACGCGAGATATAACTGCAAGCCTTAAATAATTATATAAATAATAAAAGCGTTATCTCAGCATGAAAACAGGATTTTAGACACAACTCTTGTCAAATATAGCAACGTCTTAGAGCTAATTTATTTGTTTAGGTGAACTTAATGGTGTAAATATAAATTGAATTATTTTTATTATTTAAGGCGAAGAGTTTAAGAACATTTTTGGTGCATCTAAAAAATAAGACGCTTAAAGACACGTGTACTACTATGCTTGAGTATGCTACTAAAAAGTTGAAAATTACTGTATAAGAAGACATTAATTTACAAGGATAAATACTCAACTCATTAGGGGACATATGTACGTTTTCCTGTTATGAGAAAGATGGATGCTCTTTAATAATCACTCCAAGAATCGATGTGTCATGAGTGCTCCTGACTCAAAAATCTTATACATTTCCTCCCAATGCGACTGCATTCCTATGAACGCAGTGATCACCCTGGTCGTCAACCCCAAGCGTAGACAACCCTGACAATCGCTCTCTCTCCCTCCCTCACACTCTCTTTCTCCCGCCCCCACCGTTGGCAAATCTCCGCACCAAGAGGTGGCCGACGGCATCCCCCCCATCTACCTGACACCCGTTGGCAAAACTCCGGTTCCCCTTAAGAAATGTAGAAAAAAGTAGGGGGGAAACTCATTTAAAACTCACCCTGTATAACTAGTGGATGAGTTATTTTTTATGGTTAGATCGTTTGGTTTGACTATACAAGGTTTTAAATTACTAAAATAACAAGAAACAAAATTCTAAACAAAAGACAACCCCTAGTGCACCAGACAGAACCAACAATAAAATTGGGTTCAGCTGTTCCAGCAGGATGATACATCTACTAAAGGAGTGTATTTTGTGGTCATAAGGTGACTCCAATGATTAGATAGTTCAATAACTTACCAACTGTTTCAGTTATCAGTCCAAAACAATTCCGCTTACTTTGATTAATTAAAAATTTATTCCAACAGCTATAAAAACAAGGCTATACAAAGCTGTTAACATTTTGCTAATATTCTTGATAGCATTTTAAGAATTTAGTCCAATGGTATTCTTCCATTTAGTTTAAATCACATCTCTCAAGTTTTACGCTACAACTGTAGGAGAATCGAAAAAAGCCTTTTACCTGGTTACCCTACACAAAAGTTTAAAATATTTGTATTCTATTAGTTGGATACCACAAAACACATTACAACCTGCTTATAAACAAGGTACACATGAGTATCTAGAGTAGTACAGTAATTTTCAACTTTTTAAGTAATTGTGTTCCTGTAGATTTGTACTACAGGCATAAAGCTAGGTTTACATCCATCCATATCAACTGCAATTAATATTGACAAATGTAATTAACCCTAAAATATCATCCAATCAATAAGATACAAATCTTACCGAGGATATATACACTCTACTAAACAATGAAGGTTGGAATGCAATGAAGGTAGTCAGGTACATATTGACCTAGTCACGATTAAAGCAATTGTAGCACGAATTGCCACACCATTTTAAGTTGCCAATAATGCCAATGATTGGAAAAAGGTAATTAATTGGTTTGCAATTTTGGCTTTTTTTGTAAAACAGCCATAAGTGAATCACTTGTATGGTCTGTGGAGTTGATTGGTGTTGATTAGCGTTGATTGGTGTTGATTGGTGTAGTTTGAAAATATTTAGCTCTATTTTGGTAAGCGGATTGTCTCAATTAACTAATTTAGCAATGTTTTCTGACGCAATACACAGTTAACAGTGATTGATTGATCGCGCGTTCTAAGGTAAACTACGCTTACAATTTTACTCTATTTTCTTATCAGTGGTTTTACGAATTGGTCACCAATTAACAGGTTGATTCAAATAGGCATTTAACTCCTTTTTGGAAAGTGGATTGAAACAAATTAGCATTATTAGTCTCATTTGTATTGAATTTTCCTAGTGAAAAATATACAGCACGGGTTGGTTTATCTTTAATGCTCTGGTAAACTTTACTTCTAATTCTACTCTTTCACCTGGAATTCTTGGTGGTAATTTCATAAAATAGCTAATAAAAACCGATTACTTTAATTGCTCATTGTAGAAAAATATATACTGTTTTCCTTTACTCAGATAGATTATGTTCTTTGTAATCTATGTCCTCTAAATTTTTTCATTCGAGTATAAAAACTTTGGAGTTGATGAAAGAAAGAGTGCTCGTCTTATAAAGAGTAGGTCAAAACGATTCAACTTGGGTCTAACAAACAGAGAAGGGTTGCAAACGGTAAACATGAACAACAACAAAAATAATTTGATGATATTAGCTGGGAATATTTTCTACCACATAATTTAATTTATACTTTCGTTTATTGAATGAAAATTATTAAAACCCACAAACTGCCACCAAATAAAAACCCATTAACTCCAGGCTTCGATTAGAAACATAAAATAAAACAAGATAAAATGCCAAATCGTAAAATATTTATCTCTTACACCAGCTTTTCAGCCGTAATCAACTCCAAATCCGACGAACGAGATAAACAGCTCAACCGGTTGCAAATCGAAGAACTGGTCCAGTGGCGCTCTCACTAACCTGAATGATTTGCAAATTCAGCGACTGACATTGACATGAAATTCGCACTGCAAAGCTTCATAGCAATTAGAGCTGCTTGTCTTTAAAAGCAATCAGCGGCCTCTTCAGCGCGAACTTTCTCACGTGGCGTCGAGGAAGTGACTTAAACGCTGGATGATGTTGAAGTCGCAGTTTTGAGAAAAACTATTTACATTGCGCGTCGATTTTATAAATATTTATATACCTACAGGGTGTTTTTTAACGCGCAATCCAAATTAAAAGCATTATGAAGCACATTTTAAATACAAAACACCCCCGCAGCAGCAAACCTGCAGACTAAGCGAATTTCCATTTGCCTGATTGGATTTACACTAAAACGTCTCCTTAAAGATATCACATTTATTCCCTATTTAAATATAATTAGTTTAACGAGTAGGCCTACTTAGGTTTGCTGCAGCATGGAGGGTAAAAAGTGTTTTTTTATGTTAATAGTTTAAGAAATGAATGTATTTTCCAAATTTGACAAGCAAACTACAACAATTGACTTATTCTCCCAAAAATAACATGGGAATTTTAAATTTACAATTTTTTGAATTTTCTCCGTAACCATCAGGCGCATTATAACGCTTCAATATACTATAAATTATTTGTTTTTTTTAAGCTCTATAAAATGGTTTGAAAAGAAATTGTGAAATGTTGTGTTTTTAGGGTCAAAAAGGGGAAACCCCTATTTTTACTCCATGAGACCCCCATAAACCCCTATTAACCATAGTCCAGTCATGCTGGTTAGTAAACGCGTTCGAATTAATGTAGGTTTACACGTTTATACAAAGTTTCATCAAAATCGGATCATTTTTGCTCGAGTTATCGTGCTAACGGAGACATGAATTTGAACGGATGGTGTTTTTTGGCCTCTATGGACCTCAAAACGAAAAAGTAAATCGGTCCCGGGTCTAGGTCTTACCATATGAGTATTACGGTAATAGCTTATTCCCTATATGGGAAATTCGCTAAACAACCTTATATTTTGGTATCCCTGTTTTCTTTACTTCATTGCCGATCACCTGATATGCGTCGTTGCATAGTTATCTAAAGGGTTTTAGTTTTTTCGGGAATTCATAGTGAATAAGACACAACATGGTGTGTCCCCAATCTCGAAGAGTTGGAGTAATACCTTTAAGTAAATCATTGATTCTATGACAAGAAAGGTTTGAAATTGAGTTTCCAGATGTGATTTCAGTACCTAATAAATCAACTAATAATAATTGACATAACAAACTCAAGGGTACAGGATACGAATTTAAGGAAAACTTAAATCCCTAGATTTAAGTTAAAAGCAAATAAGACAAATATAAATTCGCTCAGTCTGCAGGTTTGCTGTGACGGGGGTGTTCCTTATGTTCCTTAAACTTTTACTATTATTAACATATACAATTTTTTAAGGAAACCGATTCCGTCGTTTTATCAATTATTTACTTTCAACCTGCAACGTACGAAACTCTTCGAGATTGTGGAAACGCCATATTAGCCTACGTCTTTTGACAATACATTACTAGTAACACTGAACCTCATATATAACTGTGCAACTATGTGTTAGCGGGTGATCGCAAATGAAGTAATAAAAACAGGGATACCAATGTATAAGGTTGATTTGTCATTAAAATGTGCCTCACAGTACCTTTAATTTGGGTTGCACGGTAAAAAAAAAAAAAAAAAAAACACCCTGTATAACACTGTAAGCTGATGCTGGTATTTTTTAAATAGATTTGTGATAAAGCTTCGATCTTCAAGAATTTTTATGTACAGTTCCAAACGCATTAAATAGTAATTTCCATTGCTGGGGGTTCTGAAGAGTCGTCATCAACACATACACACATTTACGGAACACCAGGGCTTACCGTCTCCTCACACGTAAACTAACGTAGATTAAAATAAATATATCAAATATACTCACGTTGATGAAGTGTTGAAGGGTTCATGATTCAGGCTGAGCACCGACTGGTTCTTCTTATCTATCACAAACCCTGGGTTGTCCATGGTGAGGGATCTGGAAAAAAGTTGAACGGTCAAAACAAAATAAAAATCACAAAAAAATGAACTTTTGAACAATACAGTCCAAAGTACACTAATATGGTTAATATGTAACCGACTTTTTACTAGAGGAGGTAACCAAAAAGGTTTAAACTTATTCCATTCTTATCATCATCGAAGTGCTGTCAATTAACTTTTTTGGGCTATTAACCAATTTTTCAAACAGATTTTTTAAAACATTCAGTAACTTTTGTGTCATATAGATAACAGATGTGAAAGACCAGTGACCAAAAGTAGTTCCTTAGAGAAGTCGCAAACTATGGAGCAAATTGACACAGAATGCTGCCTTAACATATTCTGGAGGACTGGGTAGTCTCCATAATACGGCATCAAGTGAGACGGTCCAAATTGCTTAACATTTCAGGCTTGGCCCTGTGAAGGAAGATAATGTTTACACTCATACCACATATTGTACGGATTTATAAACCACTATAGTTTTGAAATAGTAAAAGACCCTAAAACTCTAACAATTTTAGCATTGATATGTAAAAAACATTTATAAGTTTTCTCATCGTCATTTCTTTTTTACAGTATGAGTAAATCTACCATTAAATGTTAAATAACTTAAATGAAATGTGTTAGAAATGTGTGTTGAAATGTGTTCTTAAGTTTATGTGTTGGCTTGTGTTAAGGACGCTAGGTTCTAGCCCGGAATTGTTTTACACATTACATCAGGCTAGTCCTAGAGGATTGTGGAATTTCCAAATGGATAAATTCTATTGGTTAATGGTGAATTGGTGATTGGCGGGATTTGAACCCGGGTCCTCGGGTACCGAAGCTTCGCGCTCTATCTCTTAACCAGCTCGCTCCGCAAGATAACATTAGTGAACAAGATGACAGTTGGAGACAAATAATCAATTTTCTCATCTTATCTTCGCTTATTTCCGTTACTTTTTTTAAGATTTGTGAATACATTTAGAGAGCTTTAAGTTGAGTATAAGGGTATGAGTAAATAGACACAGTTTGAAGAGTTTACAAACCATACAACTTGGGGATATTTCCAGTCATAAACTGAATCCTATTAACAAGGTGGAGACTACAGATGATTTATTCAGAGCTGTTGTTGATGACTATGTCAGTTACCCGGAGTCTTAGCAGGACATAAATCATGCTTAACCATAAACGAACATTTATGAAGCTGTACTGTAAACAATGATCAGCAGAAAACACTTAGCTACGCAACAAAACGTTCTGAACTTTGAAATACTGGTGTGACAATTCTGTAAATGTATAGGAAGGTTATATCATATCATAGACAAATAGAAACAAATATAGACCGTCAGCGGTGCTGATGTTAGCATAAGTTCTGGCGTCCACCGCTGGGAGCACCGTGTAGTTGCGGCGCACAAGATACGCAACTTCACGGCGCTCCCAGTGGTTTGACGCCAGAACTAATGATAACCGCAGCACTGCTGACGGTCTATATTTAATTTTATTTGTCTATGATCATATCGTAAAGAAAAATAAAGTACATTAGAAGCTACATTGATTCCCAAAGTAGCATCAACCGAACTATGAGATGGTTTGCTTTTGGTAGTTCGTTGCTCGGACCTGTAGAGTGAGGTATACGGGTTCGATTCCCGGGATTGACTAGTGGAGCTTTACCGTTTACTACCACTGTAACATTTAACACAGAGCTCAAATGAGGAATTGTAAGAATGGGGGAAGGATGACTGTAAAATGTAGTGAGATGTTGTGTAGCTTTGTTACAAAGATCACCCGTTTATTTAGCTAGGACAATTTATTGAAAGAGAAACAGTTTTAAGCCACCAACAAGTTAGTTTCATCATGATCACACTGTCAGGGTGGCCCATAAGTCATCTGATAAATGTGCATCCGATTAAATGATACACATAAGTTTAGAATAAATATCTTTTACTAATTCAGAAATCAAAAACAACATTTAAGATATTATAAGTTCACTAAAATTATGTTCAATCTTATTTCCAAAGATGCTCAAAGGTGTGTCCACGCTCTATTATGCAGAACACAGACTTACAAATTTTGGCAGAAATGTTGAAGGTCAGCTACAGAGCCAGTTTGTTCAAATCTAAAATTTAAATTGTGAATACCTTGTCGATATGTAGGTTCAACATCCGGAAAACGTTATCTAAACAAGTCGCACACATCACTATAATTATGGTCATGTTTTCAAAACAAATAAACGTTGTTCTGTTGTTAACTATATTCGTTGTTAATCGAATCAATGAACGCACTAACAACAACATAACCTCAAACTAAAAAACCCGCAATTACTAAACGACAACAATGACCAACAGCTGTTGTACGGGTTGTAACAACAGCTGACCTTACAGATGATGATTATTATTAAAAGTTGCTATCATCAACTGACTTAAGCCACTCAGTATTTTTTCATTATTATTACTATAACCTCTCAGCTGTTATACCGTTCAAGTGTTTTAAGCAATTGCATACAAAATGTTACTGGTTTGAACGTTAAAAGTTGTAATACACGCGTTGTAAGAAAAGTTTAAACTCGTCAAAGAGTTTTGTAAAACATTAACCTTGATTTATGTCTATAACTACTATAGTTTTAGTTATTTTATTCATGCAGCTCTTGTGGTGGTTATTTGACAACAAATATAAAAGTTTCATAGATGTATATATTTGATTAACTTATACTGTATATAAACGAATATATTAATGAATTAGGTAAACATACAAGAAAATACAAATATTTATATAGTTTTAAAAGGGTAGCTTAGAATGTTTTTGAGTAGCTCTCCCAATCAGGCCAGGAGGTAAAGAAAATATCTAGCAAATTTATAAAGAATCCCAAGCGAAGTTTATCTCAGCCTTGTGATTAAAATTATGCAAAACTAAGCACGATCATGCAATCTACTATGGGATGTACAAAACTATAAAACGTGTTTAGGTTAGCAATCTTCATTGCTCAGTGACCTTGGTAATATGTATGGTAAGTCTAGCGACGGTTATGTTATCTATGCTTTGATAACAGAGCAATAATTGAACAAAACGCTGCTCCGTGAGCCAACACTACTGTACTTGGTACTTTGACAAACCATTATTGTAGCCCAGACTTGTCACGATTTTATCTAAAGGTGAAAACGAAAATATCCCGACAGGCAGCAAACCTGCAGACGATTTAGTATACTTAACTAGTTTTGAAGCTCTACAAAAGGGTTTTAAAAAATTGCAAAATTTGATTTTTTGTTGGTCAACAAATGGAAAACTCATATTTTTACCTCCCTAATGTAAACCCTGCTTCCTTAGTTCAATCATGCTGGTTCGTGAAGCCGTTCGAATAAACGTTGGTTTACACGTTTGTACCAAACTTCATCAAATTAGGACCATTTTTACTCTAGTTATCTTGCAAACTGTCATGTAGTTATCAAAATTAGTTAAGTTTAACAAACAATACATTTCTAAACCTATCAATGTTACAGCGTTCATTTTTTAAATACTCTCATTGGGTACGAGTTTAACAACTATTGCCTATCTTCGCTAGTCATGTATTAAGCCCAGCTTGTACTTTTACGCTCATTTGAAAACGTATGTATTATCTTTGACTATTAATACAACTTCTGTATCCAATAGTCAATGGTGTTATGTAGCGCTATTTTAGGTTAGGGGACTACGGTACCTCGTTTGGCCTCCCTAGATTGAACTCCTTTCAAAAAGGACCCCATTATTTACCCTTTGGTGAAAATATTTTCACATGCACTAGAATTGGTGGGAATCTTTCTGGCCCTCTCAGCTGTTAACAATGTTGTCCAGCCAATTAATCACTAGAGGTTAGTTACCTTTTCTGTCCAAGAAATCCACAAGTGGCTCACCTAATCACAAACTTGGGAATTCATTGGACAGAAAAAGGCAACTTAACCTCTCTTATCAATTAATTGTTAAGTAATACCCGGAAATGCACAAAATGGCACTTTTCCAGCCGTTTAAGTGGATAAGTAACAGAACCAGTTCAATATTTCCAACGTATCTCTGACATTTTCCATCATTCCTTCTGCCAGTGCCGCATTCCCTCTAGAAGGCCGTAGACACCACGCCTGCGATGACGTCATTTGATCCATGAACCGTAAACAAGACTGGTAACCGCGAGGTAACAGCTGACAGGTTTGCACAATTGAATCAAGTTTTCCTTATGGAGTGATTAATAACAAAAACATGACTTTAGACCTTGAGCAAGAATGTGATGAGACACGGCTTGAATTAATTGTGGGAGAGAAGATGTGAAAGAGTTAAGAAGTTAGATGAGAAGAAGAAAAAAAGATCATAAAACGTGAGATTTGAGGAAGCCGTGGTTTATAAGGAGTGTTCGTAAAAGGCAAGGGAGACTTAAATTGGAGGTAGAGGAAAGTTTACTGCACGAATACTCCTATGAGACACGATATTTTCACGTAAGTTTCCATCACAATGGTCTACTAGATTTCGGAGTTCTGAGGGCAAGGGGTAACTGAGTGTCAAATAAACCGATAGACTTTAGGATCAGAAGATTTCAGCGTATGAAAACTCAAACACTTAAAAGGCAATCCAAAGCTTGAAAGTGATATGAACTAGCAGGTTAAACAGTTCAAATATAATGTATTGGCAAGTTCAGAAATGAAAACGATCTATCTTTTAAATTACCATCAATTACCACCCATCTTAATCACATGGTAAGTCACGAATCAAGGTACCGCTTAATTCAAACGTAAAGTTTTAAAGCCAAACAGAGATTTAAGACCTACGAAAACATAAATTAACAAAACAGCCATAATATAGAAAATAATTACTTAATTTTAATCAAACGTAGGAGTTACAATTTGGTCTTAACCAACAGAGAAACTATTCGATATCTCGAATCGTGGACCTAAGAGGTAAGTTCTTTCAGGAATAAATAAAATTTAAGTACAGTATATTTACTTTTATTATAACTAGAGGTCGTCCAGTGGTCGAAAACTTGACCAGAAATATGTAATGCAC